CATTTTTTTTTTCAAATTATAATCCGGCCCTCCAATAGTTTGAGGGACTGTGACCTGTCCCTCTGTTTAAAGAGTTTGAGGACCCCTGCCTTAAAGCATAGCTAAAATGAACATGCTTCATGCTCTCAACTCAAAATTCTCTATTCTGGTTGTTCTCCACAAATTCTCTGTACATCAAGTGCTTTATTTAACTATATAATAAAACTCCTGATCTTTTGAAATATCAATAGTTGGGAAATGGTTTCACCCTACTGACAGATGATATACAAAGAATCAGCAAATGAAATGATTTCTTTCTCCAGGGAGACAATTTCATGTGAATATGTGTCCAAGAATTCCAACTGCAATGCTAGACTTCAGTGTAAATTTTACATTTCATCATATCTATTCTTTATTCTGCTATAGATGCATTAGCATAGATAATTGATATTTAGCATGCTGAGCATCTTCACTATCATACCTCTCTTCTGTTGCACAGATGTGCCAGTGTGTGGTTCTGTGGTCATACTTCAGCACATCCTCATGACCCTGGTCCCTGCACCACTGCAGTGGTTCCTCTTCCCTTTTCTCCTCCTCCTCCTCCTCCTCCTCCTCTTCTTCATCTCAGCATTAAAAACAAAAAAAAGGCAAAGATATAAAAAATAAAAGGAAATAAATCTGCTTGGGAATAGTAAACGGGAGGGGGAGAGGAAGATAACCCATTATATTACTCCAAGAATACTGGTACTAATATTTGTATTTATGACAGTATTATGACAAAACAAATATTATGACAAGACAAATCAACAGATAGGACTCTATTAACAAAATTTATGGAACAAGAAAAAATGGAAATATTAATATAATCTTAAAGGAGAAGGGTAGATATCCCTTAAAATACAAAGAAGAAGAGGATGAATACAAAAGAAAATAGAGGAATAGAAAACAGACCCCACAAAGTCAACCAATCCCTCCCCTCCATATTTCTCCCTTAACCCATCCTCCCCTATTTCCCTAGATATCCCTTACTCCTTACCCTACCGATTTTAATCCAATCAACCAGCATCACCACCCCCTAGCCCCTAGCCCTTTTACCCTAGATCTAGCATATACCCACTTCTCCTCTCCCCCATATTACCTTTTTATGTTAACTGGAAAATTCTTAAATAAAGATCATTTTTTTAAAAAGAATATCGGTACAGAAGCGGAAGGGACCCATCACACAAAGGTAGGTGACAAGAATAGATCAGGATTGTGGGTTACTGATGGGGGTCTACCTGTCAACAGCTAGGGGCAGAAGGATCATGGTGGGGTGAATCATTTGTGGAACGTCCACAGTGTTGCATGACAGCAGTTTGCCAATCATGAGTGAGACAGTCCTTAGACTGTGATATAATATTATACTGTGCAAAAATGTTAGTACTGTTCTGCAGAAAATTGCATAGTGAGAAATTTCTGATAAGCATTTTAAAAACCCAGAATTCACCCAGATAATTTTAAATACAGATGGAAATCATGCAGCCCATTCATTGTTGCTGAACTGCATCTATCAGCGTTCTCCACCATTGGTTCTGTTAGATAGGGATATTGTGAGCAATTTTACAACAACATTTGGAGGACTGTATGATTTCCCATCCCTAGTTTAAAACCATCAGTGTAACATCTTTGGGATTACTTGATGGCTGGCATGCAGTTATATTTTTCATTGGCCTCTATTAGTGGTAATCCAGTACCAATAAGATAAAGCTAACTTATTCTTCCCATCCACCAGTTTGACTGTTCCAGGCAATGGTAAAAGATTCTCAGGGATGTTTTTTATTCTCCAAGCTGAAAAAAATAACTTAATGCAAAGTGGTGTCACTGAACCAAAAGAACTAAAGGCTGTGGTTTACATTATATGCATCTAGGCTTTACCAGTTCATTTGGTCACTTCAGCAAATATGTCCCCTTTTCTGGATAAAATATGGAAATAATATTTTCAACAGGCTGTCCTATTTTGTGGAAATATTAAAATCAGAAAAGCTTTAGCACTTGCACAGCAATAAAATACTTTTATAATCCAAAAGACTTGAGGTGGGAGTCAATCAGGGTTTTTATAGGCCTTGCTTTTGAAGTTCTGCAAGTTCTTTAAGCAATTAGCTTCCCATAAAGTCTTGGGGAAAAGTAGATTTGTACGCTATTAAGCAGTGTTAAGAACTTCAGTCCACATTCAATAAGTTTTAATATATAGTAGTCAAATTTTTACTATGGCAAGTCAATGCAAAGCCATTTGAAAAACCTGCACACTAAGATTTAAAATTCAGAAAAGAGCACTATTTTTAATAACAGTCAAGAATATATTGATAGTGGTGAATATAATGTGTGAGACAGTTCTTATCCTTACTGTCAATAATAAATCATGTGATATGCCAGAATTGGAGTGATACATTGACATTGCTTACTTATAACAGTTTTAGAGGTATTTCTAACCTCCTCCTTTAAGAGAAAGTTGACACTCCCAATTTTGGCATGCTAGAAATAATCTCAGATTGGTGAGGCATTGACTTCTATATTCTAATTTAGAAATTGTAGTGGAAAGATGGGGGAATGGCATTTTAAACAACAGAATTCTCTATTTTTTAATTGAAAGCCACATCTTATTAGAACCATACAAATTTTGTGAATTAAGTAAATAAAATAAAACTGCATTTTTCCATAGCTAATATATGTCAGGCAATGACATATGCAGTCTGGAAATTGTCAACCATGCAACTGTGCAAACCATGTTTCTAATGAAGTATAGAAGTCTTCTCTGTGCTTCTCCATGCTGTCGGCATGTTGCTGGCATGGAGTCCCCCAGAGCCCATCAAATGACTCAAAGCTACTTCTGGCAGGGCTCCGTTGTGCTCCATGCCAACAGTGTCGAGAAACAGAGCCCAGAGAAGTACGGGTGTACACTCAACTCCTCATGGAAGAAACCGGGGAGGAAGCGGTAGGAAGCCAGGGACTATATGGATACATTATGTGATGGGCTCCCATGACTACCAACAGTACCGCCTTATGCTGCCCCACGGTTTCTCGGCCTACATATGATGAAGCCCTTAGCTGTGTAAGACTACCATCCTTTGGTTTTAAAATCTGGTAGAGAACATAAATAGGGAAAAGTCACACCTCAAAATGCTGTTCTAATAATACTATAATCAAGGCATGCTTGGGCACAAGTAACATCTAATTCATCAAAATGGTGAATTATTTTTTCCCCAATATTTGTAATTTAAATTTTTGCCAGAAAAAAAAACTCAACAATACTTATACATACATTAACACAAGGAGCCACTGTTGACACAGCGGGTTAAACCGCTGAGCTGCTGAACTTGCTGACCAAAAGGTTATCAGTTCGAATCTAGGGAACGGGGTGAGCTCCCGCTATTAGCCCCAGCTTCTGTCAACCTAGCAGTTCACAGACATGCAAATGAGAGTGGATTGATAGATACTGCCCCGGCGGGAAGGTAATGGTGCTCCATGCAGTCATACTGGCCTCATGACCTTGGAGGCATCTATGGACAACACTGGCTCTTCGGCTTATAAATAGAGATTAGCACCAACCCCCAGAGTCGGATACGGCTAGACTTAATGTACCTTTACCCTCATAAACACAGACATACCTAACAACAATTATATATCAATTTATACAACATACATCTCTACTCTGATTACATACAAGTCTAAACTACAAACCATATCTATAAATTCAATTTTAGAATTGATTTTTGCTTCCCTTTTTTATTTTTCTATAAGTTAATATTTTTCTTTCACCTTATGTCCCACAAATAGTTTATATTTCAAAACATATACATAAAGTCTTTCCCTTTTCCTCAGATATATGTTGGTAAAAGGTTTCTATTCTTTTGAGGATGTATCAAATGAACTTATACTTTAACAATATCTATTACTTTCTACATCTTGACTGTTCAGTTTTCTATAGCTGGCATCTCTGTCATTTTCCACTTCAACAGTAAGCAAACAGTATTTTGCTGCCCCGCTCCTCCCAACCATATTTGTGTGCCAAATTTGGTTCAATTCCATCATTGGTGGAATTCAGAATGCTCTTTGATTGTAGGTGAACTATACATCCCAGTAACTACAACTCACATATGTCAAGGTCTATTTTCCCCCAAGAGCGCCTCAAGAGCGCCCCTGGGCAAAATCAACTATACTGCAAATGCTTACTTTGCATAATGGGTTGAGCCGCCCCTGGCCACTGGTAGCATTTAATGCAGTATTTCTTCATGATCCTTTTTTAATCATCCAATAATCCTAGTAATGTAAGTTCTGATTTAAAGTTGATTCTTGTCTTAATGTTTATTTGGATTTCCCTGTGATTTTGTATCCAGAATTTTTTAGCCTATTTACAGGTCCACCACATATGGTGGTAGGAGCTTTCATGGACGTCACACTTCCAACACTTATTATTTGCAGATTTAAAATTATTGATATTTTTGAGCAGTTAAATGCCATCTAAACATCATTGGAGTGTTGTGTGTTTTCCAGGCTGTATGTCCTTGTTCTTACAGCATTTTCTCCTGATGTTTTGCCTGTATCTGTGGCTGGCATCTTCAGATCCTGTGATGCCAGGCACAGATGCAGATGAAATATCAGGATAAAATGCTGCTAGAATATATCCAAACAGCCTACTCCAGTGATTCTGTCCATGAAAGCTTTCAACAATACATTTTATAGTTGCATATGAGGATATTATTATTTTCTACTTGTATTTTAGCGGCAATTATTCTGCCTTCGTCGTCTTTAAAAGCTAGTTCGGGGTTAAGATGGTCTTTAATGTACATGGCAACTCCTTTCTTCTTTTGGGGGGCGCATGAGTAGTATAGGTTCCCGAGTTGTTTGTTTACTAGATGTGCAGAGTGTTTTTGCATTATATGGGTCTCTTGCAAAGCAATTAAATCACATCCCAGGCTCTTAAGTTGGTTGCATATTAACTTCTTTTTATTTGGACTATTAAGCCCGTTAACATTATTCGTTACAATCTTTATTTTCATCATTAGGTATAAAATTAGTTAGGTCCTTAGACATTTTATTTTGGGATGCTTGTTTGTTGTAATCTTCTGGGGATGTGAGTCTAGCTCTTTTCTCTCCCTTGCCTCTTTCATTGAGCAGTTCCATCGGCTCAATGTCTTCCTCTTCTGATTCCCTGGTTCCTTTAACACTTGCTCCTTTCCCTTGTTGTCTATTACTATGCACCTGTTCCTGGTCTTTTTTCTTGATTTTACTATAAAAATACCTCGCTTTATCTACTGTTGTTAACCAGTGCTTTTCTTCTCCATAAGAGACCATAATGCCTTCATATTTTTCCCAACGGAATTTAATTTGTTGTTTCTTCAGTTCGTCCGTTAAGAAGTAATATGGTTTTCTTTTACTCATTACAAATGATGGTACTTCTTTAAGTATGGTTACCCTTCTTCCTCTGTAGATTGTCGGTTCTTTGGCATTTCTAGTTAGTATTTGGTCTCTTAAGTGTTTTCTAGCTAGGTGTATTACTGTGTCTCTTGGGGTGCCATTTTTTTTTGCGTATATTGTCTGAACCCTATATACTCGGTCTATATTTTTATCCATTTCGACCTCAGGTATTCCCAGTACTTTAGATGTTATCTCTGTAGCTATGTTCCTGATGTTATCCTGGTCCCTTTCTTCTATATTTCTGATCCTGATTTTAAATTCCGTTTCCCTCATTTCTACTGTCTCTTGCATCTTTTTCATTTTGGTAGTTAATTCTTCTATCTGGTCCATCCTCTTATTAGTTTTCGCTATAGCTTTTTTTTGGGTGTCTTTGTCTCTTTTTAATTCCTTGACTTCATTTTGCATAGTATTCATATCTGTTTTGATGCTTGCAATTTCTTCTTTGATTTCCTCTCTCACTTTTACCATCTCTTCTTTTATCATTTTTTGTAGGTTACTTTCTAGTTTCCCTAACTTTTCTTGGGATTTTTGTATTTTCTCCTGGGCTTCTTGCATTTTTTCTTGTGTTGCCTGTATCTTGGTGAGTTCCGCCATTATATCCTTGGCTGTAGGTTCTTTTGGTTCCTTAGTTGTGGTGTCTCTCCTGCCAAGTTCTTTTGGTTCTTTAAATGGGAGCTCTCCCTGGAGGGAGTTTCTTCTCATTGTTATTCCTTTAATTGCTTTTGTTGAATTTGTTTTTTCCATTTTTTCGGTTCCCTCACTCTTCTCTCCTCCTCCCCTCTAAAAAAAAAAAAAGGGGGGGGGGAGGGGAGGGGAGATGCCGGACCACACTCCTTCTTCACTGTCTTCAGCGTCTTCAATGTCGGAGAACCGCTCTGGCTTTGATGGATAATTTATTCCAGCATTTAACCAAGTTGTATTGCTTAGTATTGGTATATAGGTGTGTAAGTGTATGTTGTTTGGTATAGCTTTCGGTAGTCCTTAGCATGCGTTCTTCCTCATTTAGAGGTCTTGTAGTTAATAGAGGATCCTATGATGTAATAGTTACTGGTCTTTAGGTTCAATGCTACTGTTGATTCACATATGATTCAACACATATAATACATATGGTACATATTTTACATACTTCACAAGGTTGTATATAGTTGTGCAAAAGTATTGATAACACCGTCAAGTTGTGCAAATATATAGCTGTGCAAAGATGCTTATTAACACGATCAAGTTCCAATAAGTTGGGGAATCAATGATTAAATACAATGTATATAACGCAAAGGAGTTCTTAATATTCTAAAGTTTTACAATTATTTGCTTTATATTCTATATACTTCTAAAAAAAAAAAAATTCCACACCAATAAATATTATCATATAAATATTATTAAATAGTGTTAAATATTGAACAATATTATAAAGATTAATATGAAGATGAGGGTACGAATGGGTAAGAATGTCTTTACTCGAGATTGGAGTGGTTGAGAGTGATTAAATTAACTCCTAAATTATTTCATTATTTTGGTCTTTAACTATCAAGTCTCTATCAGCTCTTGAGAGAATTTAAACAAGTCGCTTTACCTTGGTCTTGCTTTATTCTTTAGTTGGGGGTTTCTTACTTGTAGTCCCGCTCTATGTGCTGGAGTAAGGTTTGGCGGTTTGTTTGTGGCGTTTTGCGGCTTTGCTGTACTTTGCTCTGCTTTACGGCTGTTTCTCCCCTTTCGGTTTCCGTCCTATCCTTCTCCTTCTTCCCTTTGCCGTCTCGCACCGTCCTTTTCCTTACACTTTACTAATATTTTATTCTTTGTCTTTATCACTTCTGTTTCTTCTCGCTCTTCGTCCTCACGTCCTCTCTTCTTTGCTGCTTCGCACTCTCACTCCTCCCTCTCGTCTCTCCTCCGGGCCGGTCTCTCCTACTCAGCCTTTCACCGCCTCCTTCGCTCGCTCCATTCTCGGCATTCTCCCCTCATTCTCTTCCCGTCCTTTCTCTCTCGTCCTCTGCCTCTCCGCGTCCCCTCTCGTCCCGTCAAGGTTCCTACGTTTCAACTCTTAGTAGTAAGTACACTTTACTTTATTATTATATTACTTTTTCTCAGATATTTCTCGCTGGACCTTTTATAGCCTTCGCTGCTTGCCTGTTTTCTTATTTGGTTATTTGCTTACTTGTTTGTATATTGCTTGTGTCTTGTTTGGTAAGTCTCTTTCTCCTTTCGTCTTTTGTTCCCTGCTTCTCTTATCTTTCTTGTAAATTGTTTGTTGTTGTTGTCGTCTTCTTGGATTTATGAGGGCGGTAGGCCTGCTGCCGTTCCTTTAGGTCGGCGTCCTCTTCCTTGGGTCTCGACGAACGGGGCTGGAGGGTTGGCGGGGCTCCCGACGGACCCCCACCTTCCCCCCCTCTGCCCACTTTCGGAAATTTCTCCAACCCGGCCTTATCTGTCGGAATTGGGGAGAAATTACAATCTCCTGACCCTTTGTAGGAAGGGTAGCGGTCTCTGGGTTAGGGAGCCTCAGATAACCGCCGCTGCCTCCATCTTGCCCTCACCGGAAGTCCTCAATGGAGCAAAATCCACATTTCTTAAGAACCTAAAGAAGAAAATTGCAGAACATACTTATGACAACCTAATAATAATAGGGGACTTCAACGGGGTTATAGATAGTAAAATAGATAAATCTAAGAAAAAGACAAGAGGGGGGGACCCAAGAGGGGGAAGGCTTCCACTTAACTTTCTAGATTTGCAACAACAACTCCAACTAAAAGATATATGGAGATTGAGAAACCCAGAAAATAGGGACTACACGTACTATTCTAGCAGACACAACACGTAGATATGTGCTGGGCAACAAATGGCCTAGCAGTACAAACCACCAAAGCGGAAATTCTACCAAGGTCACACACAGACCACTGCCCACTAAGAATTGACATACAATTAGGTCAACAGCAGAGACGATGGAGGTTAGATAACTCATTAATAAGATCAGAAGAAGACATAAAGCTCAATAAAACAATATTACAAGAATTTTTTAGTAACAACCTAGACAAGGGCACAAAACTAGAAACGGTCTGGGAAGCAAGCAAAGCTTTCATGAGAGGCCATTTTATACAGCAGAGAATCATAAAAAATAAGAAAAGGAAAGAGAAAATAACAAAATTAGCTAAAAAGTTAAAAGAAAAAGAAGACGAATTCAAAAAAAGACCTGGAAACAAAAAAGTAAAATTGGAAATAGAGATAATAAAGAAAGAGATCGAATCAGTGCAATCAGAACAAATAGCCAAAAATATGAATTATCTTAAGGCGCAACACTTCGCCCAAGCAAATAAGCCAGGGAAATACTTAGCGAAAAAACTCGCCAAGAGGAAACAACAAAGATACATAACCCAAATTAAACAAGGAGACAAAAACTATACAAAAGGGAAGGAAATTGGAGAACAATTCAAGAATTTCTACCAAGAACTTTATAAAAAGGATATGGTGTCGAAAGAAGAGATAACCAGCTTCCTCTCTAAACAAAGGATCGTAAAGATCTCTGACACAGACAGAGAACACATGAATAAGTTAACTAATGAGGAAGAAATAACCAGAATCATAAATAAACTGGCAGCAAACAAGGCCCCTGGTTCGGACGGGCTTACAGCCCTATATTACAAGAACTTTAAAGAAGAATTAGCAACTCAATTAAAAGAAATAATAAACAATATCTTTCAGGGAGGTGATATGCCAGCGACGTGGAACGAAGCAAATATTACTCTTATTCACAAAGAAGATACCGATCCTACCAATGTAAAAAACTACCGACCAATTTCACTTTTAAACCAAGATTACAAGATATTCACCAGCCTACTTGCGGAGAGATTCAAAAAACTACTACAAGGAAGAATCAAAGAAGATCAACGAGGCTTCCTGCCAAACAGACAAATGCGAGATAACATCAGGACAGTTATAAATATCATTGAATTTTATGAAAAAAATCCCCAAAAAAACGCAGGCCTTTTATTTCTAGATGCCGAAAAGGCCTTCGATCGCACTAATTGGGATTTCATAAAAGCAATCTTAGTAGAAATGGATATTGGATACTCTATCCAAAATGCCATAAGAGCCATCTACACAAACCAATCAGCAACGGTAATAGTCAATGGACTACAGTCGGATAAAATTAAGATACAGAGAGGAGTAAGACAGGGTTGCCCCCTGTCCCCACTCCTGTTCATATTGGTCCTTGAAATCCTACTGGAAGACCTCAGGGAAGACAAAGACCTCAGAGGTCTGAAGATCAGAACGGAGGAATTCAAAATTCTAGCCTTTGCCGATGATCTGCTTTGTGTAATTGATGACCCAGCAAGAAATACCACCAGGTGGATAGATAAAATAGAAAAATTTGGCAGATTGGCAGGGCTGAAAATCAATAGAAATAAAACGAAAATGTTAACAAAAAATGTAAATAAAGAAGGAAAAGAAAGAATCCTCCAAAGTACAGGCATAGAGGTAGTAAYGAAAACAAAATACCTAGGTATTGTAATCTCTACATCCAACAGAAACTTGTTTAAAGAAAACTACGAGAAACTCTGGTGCGAGATTAAGAAGAAACTTAAAAACTGGAAGTGTCTGAACCTGTCACTACTAGGYAAAATAGCAGCGATYAAAATGAGTGTGCTGCCCAAGCTAATATTCTTATTTCAAATGATRCCAGTTATRAAAACAGACCTAACCTTCAAAAAYTGGAATAGAGACATCCTAAATTTTATCTGGGATGGTAAAAAACATAGGATAAACTTTAGGAACCTCTCAGACGCAAAGCAAAGAGGAGGATTGGCACTCCCYGACTTTCAGACGTACCATGAAGCGGCCGCCCTAACWTGGACTAAAACATGGGCCACATTAGAACATAAAAAGACTTTAACCCTGGAAGGACACGACCTCAGGAGGGGATGGCACGCATACCTATGGTATGAAAAGGCATCTATAGAAAAGAACTTCTCAAACCACTATATAAGATCTACATTATTGAAAACATGGAACAAATATAAAAAATACTTTTACCAAAAAACGCCAACATGGATTTCACCAACAGAAGCATTTCATAAGAGGGAAATCCCCAGAAGCAAGTGGCTCACGTATAAGCAACTGCTCATAAAAAACAATGGTGAGTGGCAATTGAGGTCCCTGGAGGAGCTAAGAAAAGAGGATAAAGAAATGAGCTGGCTCCACCACCTACAAATTAAACAACAATTTAAAAATGATTTAACACTTGGCTTTAGTGAAACAAGTACATGCTGGGATATTGTTATGAAGAAAGACCAAAAATCCATCAAAATATTATACCAAAAACTATTAGAGTGGAAAAATGAAAAAGAACTAATTAAAGACAACATGACCAAATGGGCCAGAGACATCGGCCACACAATACTATTCAACGAGTGGGAACAAGTCTGGAATAATAAGTTAAAACTCATGAAGAATACCAACATAACTGAGAATTGGTACAAGGTGTTTTATAGATGGCACCTAACACCAATGCAACTAGCTAAATTTAATAAAAAAAAGCAAAGGAATTTGTTGGAAATGCAAAAAGGAAAATGGAAACTATTTCCATCAATTCTGGCAATGCAAACGAATCAAAAAATACTGGGAAACAGTCCATAAACATGTCCAAAACATTTTGCATACCAAATTTGATATGAAACCTGAACTTTATTTATTAAATATATCAAATATAAGTCTGAACATAAACCAAGAAAGAATGTTTCTTCACCTATCCG